TAATATTATATAGCTAATCCCGCCAGCCGCTTTCGCAACAGAGGTGACGGAAAATAGCCAAATCGACAACACTGCTTTCAGTGTTGAGAAATTTTAACAAGTTAAACAATAAATAAAACAAACAAATGAGCGAATTTAACGATTTTAGTTAAGATTTAAGTTTAAGTTTAAGTTAAAGTTTGTGAAGCTCAGATAAAAATAGCTGATATCAAGCTAAGGTGGCAGCTTTCATAGGTCTGTCTTAGACTTGACTCAAAATGAGCTTTATGCAGGTAATATCTATTTGTCTCCATATCCAAGCAGATGCTCTACAGCAAACTTAACTTATCGCAGATCCCATTTCGTCCAATTTGACTGAGGCAATTGAAAGCCTGCATCTCCGACCCCACGATGACATCGATGGACATTGCAAATCTCAGATGAATGGATGCATGGATTCTGCTCGATGCTCGTCTCGCCTAGCCGGCAGCTGCAACGTTTGTCCATCAACTTATTCCTTAGAGTACTGGAAGGTGATTTTGGATAGTGTCTGGAGTAATCTTATTGTGCACTTTTCTTATAGGAGTTCCTTTCATAAGCGGTAGAGCTGTTGGGTGGATCGATGATATCTGCCTCCAGCAGACGACAGCGACTGAGCTTTCCTTTGATTGATCACAATAAGAGGAGCAAGCAGTGAATGGACTCAAGAAGCGAGTGCAACGTGTTGCAGTTGCAGTGAGTAGATGCGCTGAGTGAGTGCATCGAATGGCTGTTGGAATATTTAATGAGTGAATGGAATGCAATGGTTCTCTGCCGTGCCGTTCCGCTCTTTGCATTTTTTAGTGGAATTACAAATTGATGTACGCGGCACGAACCGAATGTGCATAGGCCAGTCAGATTGTCCAGGGCAACAGCAGCAGCACTCGATGAGACGAAACTATATGTTGGATATGTTGAAGAAGTCATTGATAATGGAGGGATACTACACTCATTATATAGAGAAGAGACCACAGACAGACGTGTCCCACTTCAAACTAGAATTCGGCTCATTTACTGACATGCAGCATACCCAGTCTCTGCATGTGTCCAGGGTATACGAATTAAACAATGGCAGCTTCGAATGTCCTGCTGCCTGTATCCTGACCTGGACTGGGGATTGGCCAGCGAGGAGCTGGGAACGGAAAATGGGCGTGAAAGCGCAAGATCAAGAGCAATTGCCGGAGTCAGCTTTACGGTTCCTGTTTGTGTTGTTGCTGCTGTAGTAGAGCTCAGCGCCGCATTTAATACGCCAACTCGTTGCACTTCATTCATTATTAACAGCAACAGCAACAGCTGCAGCTGCAACTGCAACTGCTGCTGCAACTGCGCTGCCAGCATCAATGCGAAATATTGACATATTGACAGATATTTAAGCGAATGACTGAATGTGTGAGGCGAACTTAGATTGGCAGAGATATATCATGGATGGATTTACTAATTGGATTGAAGGTTGAAATAGAATAGAGTGACTGAGAGAGAGAGAGAGAGGGAGAGAGAGAGAGAGAAAAGAGCGGAAGCAGAGAATGAGTGGGAGAGAGAGCGAGGGAAGGAGAATGCAAGGAGTGGAAAAGTGAAATTGTGAAGGAAAGACAAAATATTGCTCTATATATGTTATGTATAGAGACAGAAAGAAAGTGTGAGATAAGATAAAGAGGGATAGAGACAGAGAGACAGAGAGAGAGAGAGAGAGAGAGATAGAAGGCAAATGAAAGTGAACAATAAATACAAAAGGGGATGAGAGGCAAGAAAAGAGTCATGGAAAGAATGCAAAAGATAGGGAGGAATACAAATATAGGTGAAGAGAGAGCTGAATGGTGACCGACTGTGAAAAAGACATAAAGAGAGAAAGAGAGAGAGACAGTAGTGAAATAGACAGAGACAGATAGCGAGTAAGACTAAAACCAGAAGAGATGGGAGAGCCCGATAGATAGAGATAGGAGATCGAGAAACGATTATCGTTAAATGCAGCTGCCAATGAATCGATAAAAATCGCCAATGAACTTATGCACTTATCGATAAATCCCGCTAGCAAGCAGCCTCGTATTGTATGCATTATTCATGCATGTGTTGGTATTCAACATATTCGATATGTCTCGATAGATCTCACTAAATATTTCCTTCTCTTCGCAGCGCACAAAACGAATGGGAAGAAAATACGCCGAGTGAATACTATTCAAATTTGTTTTTCCCATGCGACCCACAGCAAGCTATTGACTTGGCGATGGAGCTGCTGAGAAAGTGAGGGGCAGAGAGAGAGAGAGAGGCGAGAGAGGGGATGGCACTGGGAGTGTGAGTGGGGCTCTGAGCTGTAGTCGTCCGTGGCTGTAGTTGAGGACTCTCTCATCACACGGCGACGGCGACGGCGGCGGCGGCGGCTGCTGCTGCTGTTTCCGCTTTGCCCGAGCCTCTCCATTAGACATGAAAGTGTCAACTTCCGCGTTTTTGCACACACACATACACACAGATACACATACACACGCCGGCTCTCGCTTCTGTTGTCGCTGGTTAAAAGCATGTCAAATTTTTTCACACACTCAAAACTGAACGAGGAACGAGAAGCCTGCGAGAATGCATGATTGAATGATTGAGAAATTAATACACAGACACACACAGAGACACGGAGAGACACACGCACACACATGCACACATATCGACCACACAGAGCGAAAAGTAGAGCAGGAGTATGCTGCCTGAGTGGGGCAGCGGTGCGGGCGAAATTGTGGAGCGCCCATCAGCATCAACGTGAAATTATTCCATTTCACTTTACAACTGAATGCAAATTACATGCTGTAATTTCCTGCAAGAAAGCAAGAAATGAAGCGAAATGAATGTGGCACACACACACACACACACACACATGCAGCAAATGTATTTGCGCCAAGCGGAAATAAAAATAAATTCGAAAAGTTAATATTAAATGTGCTACATTGGAAACATATTGTGTGCGCTGCTGCTCTGTGTATGTGTGTGTGTGTGTGAGTGTGTGTGTCTTTTTCTCTCTCTTTCTGCCCCGCTTGCTGCGCTCTCTCTCTCTCTCTCTGTCTTTCTTCTCGCCTTTGTCTTTTTGCCTCTCTTTCTGGCTGTCTGTTTGCCGCGTCGCTCGCTTCGCTGGCGCTGATTTTCCACATGCCTAGCAGACAACAAGGCAAGCCTTTGCCACACACACACACACACACACACACACACACACATCAAGACACAAACGCCCGCGGGCATATCCATTCAGCCTATCAGCCCTGCCCTGCCCTGCCTCACTCAGCCTCTGCTCCTCGCGCTCGCTCTACCGCTGCCACGCCCTCCCGCACCGCCGCCCCCTTCGATCCAGTGGCCGTAAACAATTGTGCATTTTCAGCGCCGTTTGCTTACATTTTTTACGCTTTTCCTTTTTGGTTTTTTTCGCTTATATTTTCCAATTTTTTTTAAGCTTGTTTTTTCCTGCATTTTCTTTTATTTTTTTGCGTGCATTTTTTACATTTTTATATGGCGCATTTTCATTGCATTTTTGTGTATTTTCATTTTTTCTTTTTTTTTCGTTTTGGTTTTCTTTTTAATTTGCGCGCCATTTTTTTTTTTTTTTTTTTTTTTTTTACCCGTTTGCAGTTAATTTTTTATTGTTATTATTTTCATTGTGCGGCAACTGCTGCTGTTGCAGCCGGCGCGGGGTGTCAAAGGGGTTGGCATGAGACTGCCTGCCATGGAGTGGGGGTGAGGGATAGGCGGAGGCGTGGCAGCCGCCACTTGGTCAATGGGCAGTTTTTTAGTCAACGCGTAAAATATGCTTAAATATTTTAAATTTAATCACACGCTTCGCTGGCCTCGGCAAATACGTCAATGCATATGCAAACAAATAATGCTAGCGGCAGGACAAAGTGTAAGCCACCCACACACGCACACGCACACACATGGAGTAGTCTGCCCTCCTATAAGCTTTGGCTACTTCAGAGCGTGGAAGGAGAGAGAGAGAGAGAGAGAGAGGAGAGATTGTGTGTGTGTGTGTGTGTGAGTCGAGAGCTGATTGACCACATATTAATAGCAATTAAAGCTGCGCGAGCATTTTTCTTTTTTTTTTTTTTTTTGCTGCTGCCAATGAAATGAAAAGAATTGTG